CAGAAAGTTAAATACAATATTGATATCGGCGCAATTAGAAAACAAATATAAAAGGAAAACGATAGAGTCGTTTTGGAATCATATATATTTACAAGTAGAAAAGATGGAATTAATAAATAATGTTTAGAAAATGAAAAAAAAAAAAAAAAAAGAAAAAGAAAAAAAAATGAATAAATGAAAAAGAAAAAAGTATTAAATATTCAGTAAAAGTGTCTATGAACTTTTTTGCCCTTTTATATGTTTATGTATGCATACTCATACAAACACGTGTCTTCCTCTGTATGTATGTGTGTGTGTCAGAGAAAGAGTACGCATATAGGACCGAAGAAGAGTCACGGTCTCTCTTTTATCGGTCGTTTAATTTTTTTAAAATGAGTACGCATTGTCAACAACGATGTGTGTAAATATATACATAAATGCATATACGTATGTATATAAAAGGAATAAGCAGGTTGCTTTTATGACCTTCGTCGTCTTCGTCCTCGAGCTTACGTATGCCACGAAGAAAACAAGAAGCTTGTTCGATACACATGTTTCTTTGTATGCTCTCTTTCTCCTCTCTCTCTCTCTCTCTCTCTCTCTCTCTCTCTCTCTCTCTCTCTCTCTCTCTCTCTAGATGCAAGATATTCATGAACGTCCGCGTAAAAAGAGGAAAGAACAATAAAACAAGACGAAGGACTCTCGACGAGAGTTTCCTTTCTGATAAAAATCGACTTATCGATTTGCTACGATATCTTTTATGATTAAATAGTACGCGCAATCGAAGTTACATTAAGAAAGAAGATAAACATTTATCTCGACGTTTAAACGTTATATATTTTTAGACAAACAATAAAAAGGCAGGGGAACGTAAACGTAGGATAAGAACAAAAAAAAAAGGAGAAAGAGAGATAGAAAAAGAAAAGATTAAAAAACGAAGAAGAAAAAGGAGAAGAAAAAAAAATAAGAAAAAGAAGCAAAAAAAACAAAAAAAAAAGAAAACAGACGAGTTTTTAGGATCGTAGGGATGGGCTCGGATAATAAAGTCGTTCCGTGCAAATGAGTCATCCCCAATATCGTTGACCCTTTCTAACCCTCAACGTCAATATGTAGATACACATATGTAGTTATATACATACATGCATGCATGCATGCATACATACATACATACATATATATATATATATATATATATATATATATATATATATACACACACACAGGCTTATGTACACCCCTTCTCCACCGATCCCTCTTTCTTGAGTCACCCTTATACGCGTCATGGTTACTCGTAAAACGTAGACTGTGACTCTCGTATTCACACTCGTGTTGTAGTCGAATGCTCACCCCTACGTCAATCCCCTCTCCTTTTCTCTTTTCCTCATTCATATGCTCATAGCTAGTGATCCACTTAGCGTGACGTACTACCTCCCACCCTAAACTCTCTCTTTTTCTATCTATCTATCTATCCATCTTCCTCTCTCTCTCTCTCTCTCCTCCCTCTCCCTGTGTGCGTTGGCTTTTTTAATTAAAGCCTCTTTCTTTATTTCTCTCTCTCTCTCTCTCTCCCTCTCTCTCTCCATCTCTCTCTCTCTTTTTCTTTCTCATCGAGCATGATAATTTTCCAGACCGCGAGGAGAATTATCGGAAAATCATTTTTACACGATATTGGTTACGTTCATAATTGCGATGATAACACGTGTCAACGTAAATTTAAAGAATGTGCAACAGTATGTACTAACACGAATTTAAAAAATTGTCCAAATATTAGATAACGATTACATCGAATATATGATTCAATTAAAATTCTTCAAAAAGAAAAAAGAAAAAAAACCAGGGATTACTTGTACCGTAATCTACAGTTTCCTGTTCTCGTAACTCTTCGTTATTCACGCATTTTCTATAAAAAGGATGATCGCTTTCTTTACAGGATGAAACCACAGACCGCAACCGTTATCGTGAGAGTTATCAATCCTTTATTTTTTCTTTCCTTTTTCGTTGTCTTTTTTTTTGTTTCCATTTAATAAAAGATTTCACACGATCATACACACCGTCATTGTTTTCGATTTTAATTAAAAGAAACGAACTATACGTACGAAGAGATACATATGTTTTTGAATTTGCCGTAAAGTCGAAGCTTTTTCGACGAAGATATCGATAAAAATCGACGAAAAATTTCAGGCGCGTTTATTCGAATTAATTGACACACATTACTTTTCACATCAGATTGATAATTCTATTTCGTATATTAAGCATACACGTGCGTTTCAATTTGTATACCATTGAAATAGAAAATCTAACGTGTTTACACAAAGAACGTGATAAAAGAGAAATGTCATTTGCTAACTTTCCGACATCGTTCGAAACGCACGCTTGTACGAGGAACAACGTTCGACGAGGCTTGCTCTACGTGACGAGTGTCTGTCGTTATGTATTAATTACGAGGAAAACACGGCATTTAATTATCGTACAATAGATATAAACAAAGTTTCTACGTATCGCGAAATTGAACGGCTACATGAACGACACGAATGCGAATTTATGAGAATTTCGATCGACCCACGTAATCAAGAATTGTGTGTGTTCTTTTTTTTCTTTTTTGTAATAAGAATCCTACATTAATTAAGACTGAGTTAACGAAAATTAAGTATTCTACGTCTCTTCCTCTCTCTTTAATTATCTATTTATCTTTCGCAGTACTGAGATTATAATGAAAGAATAATTCGAATTAAGAGTTAACATTTAAAGAAAACATCGTCGAATTTAATCTGCTACATTCTCGATAGGTTAATCGTTATGACATCAGATTTAATTTAAGGAAGTTATAACGAGTAATAACTAGATATTAAGATGCAATCAGCGGGAAACAACGAAGGCAACGAATGAGTAACCATAACGGGAAAGGAGTGCACCAAAACAGGAGATAAATACGAGGAATTTGACGAGTTATAGAGCCTTACGTCGACGTACATATATATGTATGTATATACGAGAAATACCTTGGAAATCTTGCTCACTAAACTCGTAATAAAATTGAAGATAAATCAGAAGAAAGAAATACGAAGAAAAGTAGATAAGTAACGTGGTACAAGAAAGAGAGAAAAAGAAGAGAGATCATCTTTTTGCATTCAATGATTGTTTACAACGAATTATATTAAAGAACGATGTCAGCTGGGATTTCCCGCCATTGTCCATCTGCAACATTTATTAGGTTATGCCAATATCTTTCGCTAAATTCTATTGAAATTCATTTTGTAATATCAAGCAAAAAAAAAGAAAAAAAAAAAAAAAAAAGAAAAAAAAAACAACTTCGAGTCACCTATCAAAGTTTTTTCACAAGCTTACAATTTTAATTACGATAAATTCTTTTTATAACTTTTATCATCTATCATATATATATATATAATATATGTATATATATGTATATATATATATATATATATCCTGACATTCATCGAAATGGTATCTTAAAAGTACGTGATCGTAACAACTTGGCACAATGACTGGGCAGCGAAGAAGGAACGCATATCCGTACAATTTGATGTCAATGAAATCATAATTCTTTTTCTAAGTTAATCATCTATAACGAAAGGATTGGAAACGTATCGCGAAAAAAGAAAGAGGAAAAAAAAAAAGTAAAAAGAAAATAAGAAAGAAAAAGAGGAGGGAGGATCTTCGATTTAGTCTTGTTCCAATAATTACATAGCTATATCTTTAAGAATAGAAGAAAAAAAGAAAAAAACGTGCCCTACGAATGAATGATTAAAATCAATGAAATTCTCGTGCGTACAAAATTTTGGATTTTTTTTTCACCCTTTTTTTTACGAATGAATTATACCGTACTTCGACGCTTATGTATGTTATAAAGAGAAAGAGAGACAGAGAAAGAGAGAGAGAGAGAGAGAGAGAGAGAGAGAGAGAGAGAGAGAGAGAGAGAGAGAGACTAGGGTTCGTTACGATCGTTGCTTCGAGTTCCCGTTGAAAATGACGAAGAAACTGATCGCAACTTGGTTGTTGGTTCTGCGTTAAGCGGACTCTTTCACCTGCCGCGTAACCTCGACACGGCCGAAGAGATATCGAGTGACAAGATATATACACACATACACATATACATACACACACACACACACACACACGCGCGCGCGTTAAAAAGACGCTACGACCATCGTCACCTCCTCCTCCTTCTTCTTCTCTTATTCCTCGGGTTTCTCTCTTCCACCATGTTGTGTAACATCTCGAGTAAAACGTTATCCTCAAATTTCTCCGTTCTCGCCCTTTGAGAAACCGACCTTAATTCTCTCCTTTCCCTCTTCCTCTCAATGAGTTTCCTGCTGTTCTCTCTCTCTCTCTCTCTCCCTCTTTCTACTTGTCTAGGAACGTGATCTTACGCACGTTCGTGATAACGTTAGCGTTGCCTCGGATATGTAAACAAAAAGGAGGACACTCCAATCAACCTTTTTACGCTCGAATCTCTTTCTTTTTTTGTTTCAGAGAGAAAGAGAGAGAAAGAGAGAGGGGGGGAGGGGGAAAAGAGAAGAAGAGAAAGATGGGATTAAAATACGTTTACGAGTCGATAAAGTAAAAAAAAAATTAAATAAATAAATAAAAGTGAGGAAGAGAGAAGAAAGACCTCTCATTGAATTGGACAAAGTAAGAGAAGGGTGGTGGGCTTCGACAACGTGAGAAATTTAGTAAAACAGGTGGCAACAGCATGCAGGTGGTAAAGAGAGGAAGAAGAGCTGGATACGTACGTACGTACGTACATACATACGTACGTGTTTCAAAGAACGTATACGTTCGATTAATTCTAAAAGAGACATGCAAGTTTGCAGAGACAAACGGATGGCCTCTATTTAATATGAACAAGAAGGAGAGATAGAAAAGCAGGATATAGAGAGAGAGAGAGAGAGAGAGAGAGAGAGAGAGAGAGAGAGAGAGACACGTATCAATGCAAAAGAGAAAGAAAATGAGAGAAGAAAATGTAAAGCAAGCAGAAGATGATGTATATAGACAAAACTCACCTTAGGCCTGTAAAACCACTTTCTTATGGACTCCATCGCGCATCGAAATCGCGACAATGTCTGCCGTTATCACGGACGAATCGTCGTCGTCTTGTTCGTCGTCGTCGTCGTCGTCGTCGTCACCTTCGTCGTTGCGTATCCTGATTTCAAGTCAATCTTCACAGCGCGCATAGCCAAATTTTTCTCTTTTCAGCTGGCACGAAGGTCGCTGTTACTGCTACCACTGCTGCTAATGATGCTGATGCTGCCGTTGCTGTTGCTGCTACTATTGACTGCTACGAGTTAGATACGACGAACAGATGCAGAAATATGAGGAGCCTTCCTTTCGCGTTACTTCGAACGGCCGAACAACCATCGAACGATCTTTCACTCACTCACTCTCTTTCTTTCTTTCTTCCTTTCTCGCTCTCTCTCTCTCTCTCTCTCTCTCTCTCTCTCTCTCTCTCTCTCTCTCTCTCTCTCACCTCCTCCTCTTCGCCTTGCGCACGAGAACACTCACATATCCGAAAAGAGTAATCGCACGTCCATGAGACCGATGATGACTGACCGCGGAAACACGAAACGCAACTACGCAACTGATTTGTTGCGCATGCGCCGACGATCGCGCCATCTTTGCCACCATCAGCGACATCTGGTAGCATTTTCAAATGACGCGGGCTATTTGAATAAAGAAAAAAATCACGAACAAAGATAACCTATATTCATAATTTTTATAAATTACTTTCAAGGGCGATAGAAATAATTATAATAACTAGTGATTATAATACCTAATGGTTTATTGTGTCCTAACAATATTAACTCTTGAACAAAAGTTCGATATTTAAACTTTTAAAAATTATACTAAAATTAAATTGAGCAATTATTGTAATTTTATTTATAACATAATTCTCATTGTGCGAGTAAAGCAAAAATAATCTTGCATTATTGGCGAAATAAATCGTAATATTCAAATAAATAAAGCAACTCTAACAATTTAATTTCCTACTTTCAAAAATTATTTTCTGATATCAAAGCTCGTAAAGGATGATTGCATAATCTCTTTTTCATTCTTAAATATTGCTTTCTCGATTGCTGATTGGGGACTTCCTGTACATTGCAACCAACGTTTCCTAAAAGATATTGAAAATATGTTAATAAATATGACATGCAATGAAATGGCATGAATATGATCTCCAAATACATTTCTTCCACTTTTGATTGTTCACCCTCCAGTTGTCCAACTACAGTTCCTCTATCCGTATTCATACACCAGCCTTTTAAACCTAACTCCTGACTTTTCTTCTGAGTGTACTGCATTAACAAATAAAATAAAAACACTTGTCTTTATGCAGAACTAAATAATATAAGTATCTAATTTAGTATATAACTTTATAAAAAAAAAATCATAAACATAATTTTATAAAGATCAGTGATTTTACATTCTCTATATATACAAATGTTCAATTTAAATCTGCGTATAAGTTCCAGAGATCTTTGAAAAGAGATACCTTTCTGAAGAAAACACCTGAAAATATAAATAAAAAGTTTAATTATTAATATTTCTATGTTGATTAAGTAAATGTTTTTTATGATATACCCTGAACTGTTCCAAACACTTCAAAGTCCAATGATAAGATTTTAGACATTGTAATAGACGTTACAAATTGACGACAAATCATAAAAACAATTATAATGAATCAATACAAGACAGTCAATTTTTTAAATGCATTAAAAAAATGCTTAATATATAATTGTCTTTTTTCTTGTACATAAAATACTGATAATATAGATTATAATCCTCGTGTAAAATAAAGATAGAATTTGTACCTTCCTTCTTTGTTCTACAGATGGTGTCTTTCAACATCTATTTTATGCTAGTAGTTTATGGTTGAGCTGGATTGAGCTGACAATTTCTCATGAGCAAAATTGAAGTAAATCATCACAGCAGCTGTTACAATTTTCATAATACAGTTAAATAAAATACATATTATTTATCATGAATGTAAGTTGAGGATTCTTATTTTAATGACAAAAAAAAATAATTTATAATCATATCTTGAATTTTGAAACATTTTGTCTTTCAGGAACAAAACATTCCCATTGATATTAATGTTGGTAGATTATTGGAATGGCTAATCAGTAGAAGACATTGTAAAAAAGATTGGTATTCAAAAGTTGTAACTATTAGAGAAAAGATAACCGATGCCATAAAAGATATGCCAGTCCGAGATGATGTAGCATGTTTATTGTCTACCATTGGTAATAATACATTTTTTATGTGATTTTGTTCATTATCCCTACAAATTTTTATTTCTATATATTTTTTATATTTATTCCCATAGACATCAATTATTTTGACTGTCGCAAATTGGTTGAAATTTTAAAAGAAACCGAAGCAGATACAAAAAATATGTTTGGGAGATATGGATCGCAAAGAATGAAAGATTGGCAAGAAATTATGTCTTTGTATGAAAAGGATAATGTATATCTTGCAGAAGCAGCACAAATGTTGATGAAAATTGTGAAATATGATATACCCAGTTTAAAGAAACAAATTCAGAAATTACAACAGATGCAAAATGTAAGTTATTCTATATTGAATTAAACATATTATAATTAATATATATGTTTCTATTTATAGTATATTTTAACATGTATAATTATATTCTATAGGATTTAGATAAAGAAACGGAAAAACATAAGAAATCAGAGAGAACAGCAAAAGGTGAATTCGATGCCCTCTGTAAGCAATTAAATATTTCTGGAAAAAATATCAGATTTGAATTGGCTGAAACTGCTAAAATCGAATTACCAAAAATTTGTACAAAGATAGCGGAAAAAACAAAATCTCTCAGTGATATTGTTAATTTTTATGAAGCATATGTACAATTTACAAATGGGAAAGAAATTAATGAAGATAGTATGAAATGTTTAAAGTATGTGATAGGTACGTTAACAAAATTTAAATCTATATTTAGAAGTATATATACTATATGAACACTTAATCAAATATTACATTTTTTTTATAGCAAAAGGAAATACTACAGCAACAGAATTTTTACAAGAAGATTCATCGCAATTGACATCTGACTCTGATTTCAACATCACTGTTGTAGAAGATAATAATGAAAAACAAACAGAAGATATTTATGACATAAGAATAGAAAGCAATGATTCTTATGCAGATAACATCACGTGTGAGAGTTCTGATGTAGAGTTGATATGTTTACAAGATGAACTAATAGTAGACTACCCCACTCCAACTATTTTAGAACATCAAACAATGATAGACTTTATGAATGATTTATTAGAAGTAAGATAAATAACTAACTCGCTAGACTTAGTTGTCAAGTATTCTAGAAATAAACTATAAATAAATGAACAAATGTTAATTTCTAGCTGGAAGCATTTTTGAAAATGCGTCTATATGAATTTCAACAAGAAAGTAAAGAAAATTTGATGACCTTTAGTCACATGCAAGAGGCATCAGAAATTGTTCAACTTTCTAATTTACAAAGTGTACAAAATATGTTAGACAGAATGCAAAATATTATATCTGACATGTCTGATAGCAAATATGAACATTTATACTCTATCAGAAATCTTCCAAGGTAAATAATATTTATATAATTTTAATAATATTTTCCTAATGTATATTTCTCCTTCGTTTATAAATAAAAAATATTTATTGCAGTTATGCAGATACATTAACCTTATCTCTACAACGAAAATTAGCTATAGTTGAGAGGATGTTAAAATATCAAGACACTTGTATACAAAAGAGAAAAGAAGCGGAAGAACGTATAATAAGTCTACAGCCTCTTTTGAATCATGCAGTACAAAGAATGAAAGAATTACAAACCGAGGTATTATTTGAAATTATTATGATAATATCTTTGATAAATACACTATGATATTTAATACTCAAAACCTCCTTACGTTTTTACAGATAGAACAAGATATTTCAAAGAAATATCAAAATAGAACTGTGCACATAAGAGGAGGTTCTATTTTGTAATAATTATTAAATTATACGTTGAGTAAGACTTGCACACAGCTATTCTCTGAACTGTTAACTCATGAAATAAGAGTAAACTAAAACAAAATCATATTTTATATTTTTGTAATATAAATTCCTGAGGTAAACGCTGCTATTAAGATACGTGCAATCTGTAAATACATTATAGAGAACAATTATGCTTCATTATGAAATCTATCTTTGGTATAATGATACTATTTTCTTAATGAGTATTGATACAGTACGTGAAATTACATAATCATGAAAAGATTTTGTACTAGTCTCCAAGGTGATGAAGTACAAACAGCCTTTGTAGTCGGACAAGGATAGCGGCGTAAGCATTCTGCTAATGATCTATCACATTCGCATAAACGTTGTGCACACGATCCCGATCCTCCCCATTTACCATGTTCAACGGCTATAAATCAAAAGAATATCATCTACTATGTCAACTACCATAATTTTACTAAGATATAACTAATGATATACCTACCACATACAGGTTTGTAACCATGATAACATCTCCAATAATAGGGTGCAATATATTCCATGAATATAGGACATTCTGTGGCATCGTAACACCAATCGTGCATTTTACAACACCTAAAAAATTACTTTTTCGTTAGGGAAACGGCAACACTTTGATTTATATTACAAAATTAAGGAAATACCGATCGATTCCATCAATGACATATCCAGATCCTAAGAAGCCACAATAACAACCATATCCTTTATATACCAAAGGATTACATCCTGTAGCACACACTACCATATTGTAAAGATGAATGACACCTCTTTTAAATCTTGTATGATTCGTAAGTTCACCAACACTTTTAATTACAACCATGGATTTATTTATCAATTGTTTACATTTAAATCAACTTTTAGCTATTTAGTTATTGAAAATAATATATACTTACATCGTTTTGTCGGCCTTCGTAATATTCTTAGTAGCATTGAGAAACGATGATAAATCAAAATGTATACTTTTATTCGTATTTTTCGAAGATCTTAAATTTTCTAGATACTCGGTATGTTCCACTTGTTGATTCTCTTCGCGCCAATCAACGATTGGCCCTTTGATACTTGAATCATCGCGATGAACTCTACGAATTAAGCCAAGGCTCGTTTTTTTTATTGTATATGGCGTTACATTACCTGTACAGACAAAATAAATTATTATGGAAAATAATATTATAAGATTAATTATATTCATCGATTGGAAAACGACAGAAATAACATTCCTTATCGTAATATATTTTATCTAATAATAATATATTTCATCCGTATTCCATTATAAATTTACTTTCAGTCTTGAACATTTTACGCTTTCGTGACACTCCTTTAGAAATATCAAAAGAATCGCATCGCGTGAGTAATGTATTCGAGATCTGTAAAGGTATAAAAGTAATCACGGAGCTCATTCAGAGTTTCAAATTATACCTCTGTAAAGTTTCTAAATAAAATGTACGTGTCGTTTTCCATCGCATTAGTTTTTTCAGACTTTAAATCTTACGGATATATACATACCTTGAGCTTCGCAATAAAAGACATTAATAAATATAATTAATTTCAAAGTTAAAGGTAAAACACTTCTACGCTTGCAAGCGAATCGCTTTGCTACCGCGTCGAAGGATACATCAATTTCTGTGAGATGCATCAGATATGTTTTTCTTATAATTACAAAGAGACAATAATTTCGAATCGATTCGTGAATCTCTTCGTGTCATCTACTGACCGCTTCGAATTTTTTCGGCATTTCACAATGTACGATTATTATCATAAATTTTACACATAAATATTACATATTAATGTTACACATTTGTTCATTGACACAATTCATCCTTTCAAGATCATGATTATTAAATAGAGTAAACTCGTTCAAATTAAAACGAATGATACAACACTTGTACACTTATTCGTACGATTCCGTCGTAATAGGATAGACAACGATATCATTTTTTCAAATTATCTAACACTCGATATAAAACTTTGATCGTATTGAGTACTCGCAGGAGTTCTCGATTCGAGAAGATTATATTTTTCTATTCAACAAACAGGTCTATAGAATTTTTCTCTCCTCTTGTCTCGTCTCTACTGCAAAGCTGGAGACTTAATGATGATCCAAAAGGTAGAGATCTGTCTACCAGGTAGATGACTTTCTCCTTCCACCAAACTCTCGACAGAGCGTGCAGCAATGCGTTGTTAACTTTGACTGTTTCATACGTCTCCATATATCGGATAAACTTGTTCATCTCCAGCGTACCGAACAGGGAGCGCCTGGTTGATGCTTTGAGAAACTTACTGTTACACTTTCGTCGTAAGTTCCTTAAGAAGGAAAAGGAGCTCGGTTCTCCCGTGACGTCCATTCCATACGTTCATTCTCTTCGGCTTTACACTCTTGACGAGCTCGGGTCAAAGGTAATCTTATATTATTTTTCTTTTTTTTTTTTTTTTCCTTCATGTAATATACCTAGACGTAAGTTTCGTTCCAGTAACCTGAAAGATCAGAGTACACTTACAACTAGATGACAAGCTTGTTAAATTAAAAAGATCTCGCGATTTTCGCTGTTACCTTTTTTGTTTAGTTAACTTTCTCCGAGAACAAAGATATTATCGATTAATTTTTTTTTCATATATAATCGTAAAATATAATGTGCTTCACAATTTCGTTGTATTAAATAAAAAATACAGACCATTCTCTCATGATACTTTTATACGTAATGAAGCACTAGTTCAGGAAGCGGATTGTAAATTCCTATCAACCGACCCGATTTGGTCCGCTAATTCGTTGGATCTATTCATAAAATCAACGTGAGAATACTTTCAACGTGAGAATTGTATCAAAGAGAATAAAGAAGATATATTAGCATTCAGGAAAAAAAAAAAAAGAATGATACGGATACATATACGTAACAATTGTAAAAGCATGGTTATTTAAACATGCAAATACGGGTAAACGTATTTCAAATACGTACTACCTCTAAAATGAAAGTTTAGGCAAGTGTTAACGGTATATTCTCACAATCAGTAAGCGTAAAATGTTTTACTCGCCAATGTGGGTAATTAGAACGAAGAAACAAAATGTATCGAAAATAATTTACGTTGACGAGTGGTGTAAGCAATGTGTAATGTAAATGATTTTTCTCATCTGACACGAGCTAACGTTGCATTTGATACGCTTTAAGCGTTACGTTGTGTTAGCCTACCATTCTTCCAACCTCATAATTATGACTGTGACGGATAATAACGTCGCGTCGCTTAGAATGCAATGGTAATTGCAATTGTAAATTACTCCATACGCGTTATGACGAAAATATAAACATCAGGCTCTGAAAAAGTCACGATTAGTAACAAAACTTTTGTGTTTCCTATCTTTTTTCTAATTGTTACACATAATTATAGTAAATAGTATAGTATTTTTACTTCTTCATATTAGAATATAAGAAAATTATTTCATTCTGCATTTGTAAATACAAAAGTATATATGTATATGTGTATATCGTCAAAGGCCGACACTTTATATATGGCCTATCTATGTAACGAGGCGTATCGTACCGCAACTCTATAGGGCACATCAAAATTTCTTATACACTCGACTCGTATTTTCAATGGTGTAACAACTATATAAGACTATATTCAAATATATTTATCAATCTTATTTTATAGGGATTGTATACCATGAGAAAAAAAAACTAATATAACGGGCTAGGAAAAGATAAGAGAAATTCAAAGCGAAGAAAGAGAGAGAGAGAGAGAGAGAGAGAGAGAGAGAGAAAAAGAATAATAGACGAAATTAAATTTTATGTTATTCGACCTAAATTATATTAATTAAGCTGATATACTTGTATATATTTTTCTATATAGGAAATTAGAACTAACATAAATACATTATTAAATAAGTTTTAAAATAGTCATACATAAATATAAGAAATGTAATCTTTAAGCTAATTAAGATTTTGTTATTAACTATAATTACCAAGCCTAAGTACAGATTCCATGCCACCGTAGACTATCGTAGTTCCATTGCTGTCCAACGCAACGATTGGTTTATTTACATTGAAACTATCTATTACCTACTCAAAAAGTCAAATAATAAAACGACATAAATACGAGCTGAAAGAGATAATAACTAACCTTTTGTTCCTTTATATTAATCACTTCTACAGCACCAATACCAGAACCAGATGCAAGTATATGATCACCATAAGGATCTCCATCAAAGTACTGAACGGTATAAAGAAATTCACCCTCTAAGGTGGTAGGTCTGTTTCGTGGTTTTATTGTCTCGATTAATTTAGCACTCATCAAATCCCAAATTTGGAGACTTTCACGAACGACCCAAGAACCCGTTAAAATGTGCGATTCCTGAAAAAAAGTAAAAGTATATATATAGAGAGAGAGAGAGAGAATTGAAACGCACTTATATTATTACTCGTAAATCAATCGCATCGCCACAAATGTGAGGCCCTTTGATCGTTCTAATGGATCCATCACTGACTCTGATATCCCAAATCTAAACAAAAATAATTCAATGAGACATATTGCAATTGACTTTGTAACTTCAAAGAGATGTGTACTATTAGCTTTGTATCAGAAATTTACTCTGACTGTATCATCCCAGCCTCCGGTAATAATCAAATTCGTATAAATATGATGAAACCTCACAGCGAATATTCTCATACGATGAAATCTCATAACGTTGTGCATCATGTCTTCCTCAATTTTCCGATACGTCAATATTGGCTAATGAAATTTTCATTATTGAATCAAAAAAAAAAAATATATATATATATATTACAAAGAGAAAAAAAAACGAAATTTGATTTACCTTTGCGATTTCGGAGTCATAAATTCTAACAGCTGCATCTTTGCCACCAGAAACCAAATAATTCCCATCGTAACTAAGATCTATCGCATTAACTTCGTTCATCGGTTCTAAATGAATTTTTTTAATATAAATTCAAATAAATATATATTCCCGTTATACAGATTCGATAATCGAAAAAAAAAAAAATATATATATATATATATATGAAAATAAATATATACCTGAAATAAATTTGTTAATTTCGTTTTTATCCATCGTACATTGAAAAATATTACCGCATGCGCCAGACGTATAAAAAAAATTCTTTTTTATCGGATGAAATCTACAGCTCATAATTGGAAACGAAGTTTCCATACCGCCTCTCAATGTTGCTTTCAATTGTGCAGTTTCGCCGCTCCGAATCTACAAACAATAAAGTTCAATTTCTTTAATACAATATATATATATCTTTATCTATCGAGTAAAATAAAAAATATTTATATATAATATTATATACTTGAATAGAGCCATTTCCAAAACACGTGACTATGATCTCACCATTTGCAGAGAAACGTGCGCAGTAAAGACCATTGAAACTATCAGGGAAACGAACCTAAACTTTAAATATATTTATTAACTAAGAGGTAAATTAGAAGATTTATTTAGAAATATACCTCATGAATGATACGGCATCGATCTTTTGTCGACGAGATGCTCATTCTAGCTTTTTGCAGCCAGCTATAACGTCTTTCCATTTCAGCTTGTGATATTTTTTTCTCGGTTAAATAATCCATTTTCAACATCGTAGCGGGTATTTCTGTTATGGTCTTAAATGATAAAATAATGAATTAAAACTTCATACTGTTTGTTAATTCCGTGTACTTAAAATATAATTCGAATTTTACAGATACTAACATTTCTTTTGTTATTATTATCCGTCCTCTCGTCTACAGTTTCTTGAAAAGTTTACAATTAATTATACGTATTATCTCTTTATTAAAACAAAAAAAAAAAAAAAAAAAAGATTTAAAAATTCAATTGAGCATAAGTTTGAATTTTACAAACCAGAATTAGATTGATTTAAATTTTCCTGTTGTCGATGTTGACGAGGACGATTCACTCGATGTTTACTTTCTTTTTCATTTGTGTCCTTATACATTTTTTTATAAAATAAAGAAATATTGCAATGATGTTTGCTAGAAAAAAAATATATAAAAGATTTATTACAATATTTCGAATTTTTATAAAATGTGAAGTTATCTTTAAAATTGACTTCGTATCGATTGTAACTCGTTGTCAATGATTTCGATTATCGAAAATTGAAGTTTCAGCGCCATCTTGTAATGAAATGGTTATACATATACGTATATCATCAGTCGATAGATTCGTAGTAAACAATTATAAATTTGGTCAACTGTATATGGATAACTTTTAAACGTTTTAATCAGTTTATTAACTTTAAATTATTATTTTAGATTATATAGTATATTATATTAAATTTACTACAAACACTAATATAATCCAAAAAACTAATATCTTTTATGTTAATATTCTTTTATTATTATATTTAAAAATAATGATCTCAATAGTATTATTTAATAAACAAAAACGTTTAATACAAATAGTATCTGACTGCTGTGATCTATATAAAAAATCAAAATGTAGTGGCTTAAGCAATTATAATGGTATTTGTACTATAACTACTTTCACTCCAACATTTGCTTTACCACCTGGCAGTAGCATGAATGTTTTTGACAGATACGCTAAACTATTGCAAAGAGAACGTGCTGTGAATGCTCCTGATGTTAAATTGTATGATTATATTAAAGATGAAGTAGGATATAGATTATCTGATAGAATATTTGATATAAAAAGGACTTTTAAAAGAGCTCTAGATTTTGGATGTGGTCGTGGTCATGTCTCCAAGAATATTTTAAAAGAATCCGTAGAAGAATTAATTCTAACGGACATGAGCCAAACTGCATTAAATCAAGCCGAAACTAATGAAGGTATTAAAGTTGAAAAAAAAATTATTGATGAAGAAGCACTAATATATGAACCAGACAGTTTAGATCTTATCATAAGTTGTTTGAGTCTTCATTGGGTCAATGACCTGCCTGGATGCTTTAAAAGTATTAATAATTGTTTAAAACAGGATGGAGTTTTTATGGCTGCAATATTTGGAGGAGAAACATTATATGAATTAAGGTTAATCGATTAATCTTCTCGCTCAAATAAACATTATTATTACATATATTTTACTTGTTCTTTCTTCAAATTCTGGTATCATTATTAGAGGTTCTTTACAATTGGCAGAATTAGAAAGAGAAGGAGGAATTTCACCACACATATCTCCTTTTACGGAAATTAGAGATATTGGAACTTTATTAACAAGAGCTAATTTTACTATGTTAACTATTGATACAGATGAGATAGTAATAGGATACCCTTCTATGTTTGAACTCATGTGGGATTTGAAAGGTACATATATCCACTCATTAAATAATTCAATATTAAAGGTGTTAATAGTACTTTTAAAAACAATTACTTTACAATATTCTTTTGTTATTTGTTATATTGTTTCAGGAATGGCAGAAAACAATGCTGCAAGAAATCGTAAACTTCATTTAAAGCGTGACACTTTAATGGCAGCTGCTGCTATATACAAAGAGTTATATGGAAAAACTAAAGAAGATGGAACTTCATATATACCTAGTACATTTCAAATTATTTATCTATTAGGATGGAAACCACATCCATCTCAACCAAAACCTCTTCAAAGAGGTACAGGTCAGGTATCTCTTAAAGACTTACACCAACTTGATAAAATAATAAAGGATAGCACACAAGTAAAAATAGATGAAGATAAATAAATTTGTAAATAAAATATTTGTTAATATAATAGCATCTGTTTATGTCAATAATGTATATAAAACTGTTTAAGTGTTTAAAATACATATAACAGTGTAATTAGGAATGATATATACAGATAATTCATTTAAAATAAAAAAGATGTCTAAAGCATATGTGATATTTTAACAATTATTATTTAAAATAAAAGTATTTTTTTCTTTCTAGATATTTAATCTATATAAAGTATGTGTTATTTTTTTTCTTCATTTTTTTCCTTATGCACTACTACTCCTTTTTGTATAAGTTCAGGTATTTCTACCGCAAGCCATGGTCCAAGCTACAATTTAGAAAATATAATCAATTAAAAGACAACTTATCTGGTATAATAATATATAATGATATTAAACTATAAATTAATGCTTAAAATACATACACCAAGAGCCATAGCATGAGCAATACCAAATTTGGGTACATTACGTGCCCACAAAGGTTTAAAGTGATCAGTTAAACAAATTTTTCCACCTCTATACATTTTTGCTGTCTTACCATCCAACTCTGGTAATGCAATCTCAGGTGCTGTTGCTGGATACGTTACAGGTATCTAACAATTCCATGATTAAACATTGTCTATTAATTAAACATTACTATGCACTTAAATTTTATAACCACATTGTAATAATATTTAATATAAATTAAGGAAAAATGAAATACTAACATCAAATTCAATTTCAAATTCATATTTTAAATAATTTTGCATGTACCAACATTTTCCAAACCATCTTGTACCTTCTTTATTTGATTCTAACCTAAACCAATCATTGTTTGATTCTTTATTATTCTTGACATACTGTAAGGAAAAAGAGAGATTTTGTATTAATAACATTATGAATGTTCCAAAATAATATTTAAGATAACTAACATATGGAAACTATCATTTTTAGAAAGTAGAATACATATTACCGTAATCAATGCTTGATATTCTTCTTTTAATCGTTGTATCCACAAATTTTTATCCCTAGGACCAGCTTTTGTTTGCAACGAAGGAATACCAGTTAATGTTTTATTTGTCACTTCATCCTCCATTGTAATTTACAATAAAATAAATCAGTATTAGACTCAAATAATTATTGACACTGTAACATTTCACGTTGACTATGGAGCGCCATCTAGAAGGTGCCTAAACGAATTTTCGCGCTATTAACCAAGCAAATGTGCTTTTTTAATATCAATATTGGCATTGAAATCAGATTTTTTCTAAGAAATTATATAGGTCAGTAGTGCCAACAAATGTATTTTAAAGCCTTCATTATCGACTAAATTATACGTGTCGTGTATATATATGTAACATCTGTCTGAACAAACGAAAGAATTTATCACTTATCTTGATATTGAAAATAGGAATTTTTCAAATTATATAGTGTCCGAATAATGTAGGTTAAAATTTTCTTTCTCATCGCATTTCAAGCTATTTCTTTCTAGCATAAATCTCGTTTCAACTTCTATAAATTTTTAAATCATCGTTCCTTTAATCTGAGTTCATCACGAATAAATCTATGTTCCAGGAAACGTAATTTCGAAATATTCGTAACTTCTAACATATTCCAAAATTTATATTGAATTAATTATAGCAAATATGGAAAGTTCATAATCTTTAATTTTCTTGTAATGCAGTACAAACGAAGTACATTTAAATATCGTAACTCGCATATTCCTTCCATTCTTATTGACATTAAACGATCGATGCACGCTGAAAGAAAATTATTACAACGCGTTTTAAAGGCTATGTTTAACTCTCTTTAAATATTTAATTAAAGTTTTGTTATATTTAATGAATGTGCTATTGTTTAAATATTAGTTAGTTATAATCTGCTTACGTTTCAAATTATTTAAATAATTATCAAATTATCGATTATAAATTATTTAAACTTTTTTTCGTATTTTTTAGTTATATTTCTATAACTATCAAATTTTAATAATTGATTTTGTTAGTTTGATCTAAAATAATATCCGTTTCAGTAGTTTTTAGATTCCTATATCATATTTTTAATATTTTCATATTTTCGTATAATAGATCGAAAAATTACATATTTCGCGGGGTAAGGAAGCCATTGGATAGGTGGCATACTGCGCATGCGTGTGGGTCCGTGTAGTCTTCTTGCCATTGGTGATTCCGCCATTTAGAATTATTTCGTCGTATAAGTCACAGCAGACCTTCGTCGTCCCGTTAATTACAGGTCATTAGTATGTTCTTTTTTAAAGTATATTTTTACTTTATATATCAAATCGATTTCTCAAAATACGATTTACACATATGTTCATTCGCAAGTCGTGGCATCGTCTTGTTTAAAAAATATCCGCAAAAATAATATCGGCGTTTTGGCTTCCCCTTTGAAACTATCACGTCATATTTATTTCTCGGATTTGCCAGCTTTATTTTTGAGATATCGATACTTTTCTCGTCCCTTAATGATGCTCTAATTAATAATTCTTCCTTAATTAATCGTATTCGATTGTATTTCGCCGTATATACAATTTTCATATATATATATATATATATATATATATACTTATATATATACATACATATACATATTTTTCTTACGGCAGATACAGATATCGATAACTCCTAGACGTATATATATTCACATACAATTAATTTTCTACTTTATTAATATCGATTTAATATTTTATCGATCTAATAACTTTCTGAATAGCATACAAACTAAGAAAACTACGTAGTACGCTAGAAATAATGTTTAAAATGCAATTCTATCGTCCTGCACGCATACGTAAGTCTATTTATTTACAAATAAATATAGCGTTGTTTTTAATAGAAAGAAAGAGAAAGAGAAAGATAGTAATAAGATATGGATAATAGCTTCAAAGTTCCCTCTTTAATAATGTCTACAAATTTTCAGTCTTTGGCAATTATAAAAACAAAAATCAATCACGATGTATGTGTTTGTATATATAGAGAATTTAGGAAATACATACCAGCAAAAGCAGATGTAAACTATCAAAGGACGACCGGGGACCTTGACTCGACCTTCCTGTTCGTTCTTACTAATGTGTCACGCAGTTCTCGTTCAGATAAGCAGCCTTCCAGACGTGTTTAGACCTGCTCTCGCTTCGTCAATTCCAGTTCGTCTAACTTCTCATTTATATTATATAAAATGTTTCATAAGCTTGATTTAATCATTGATGGATTATTAATCTTATTTTATATCATATTAGAGTTCAATATACGCAGCATTTATGCGTTGAATACACAGGTTACATTTATACACGTTGTATACATTGTACATACTTATTCATAA